AACAACGTGTTGTTCAGTTTGTTTGTTTGTTTGTATACAAAATATCTCAAAATGTTCTTCACAAATTTTATTAAAATTTTGAGGACAGACAGTAATCTGAAAAAGCTCAGCACTGCAAGATTTTTGTGATGATCCAGCTCCATGCATGCCCACATACAAGGATTTGAAATAATAAGCAAACAAATAAATAAATGCAAATCTTGACTTGTCACAATCTTGATTCCAAAGGGTCACAACTCCTTACTATATAGTCCCAGTATAGAAACCATATTACTACTGAATGCTAATTGGAAATCATATATGGCCTTTAAATGGTATTGACCTTGGGTGATCCAGAAAGATCAAATATGAGTATATGAGATGTAAATGGCTTGTACCTCAGGAATGGTGCCAGGTACTGACTACTGGTTAATACTGAACAGTAATAGGAAGTCATATGTGAGCTCTCATTGCCATTCAGAAGCTTGGATAATCTGGGAAGATTATTATTATTTATCAAGGCTCTCAAAAGTGTCACATATCAATAGAATTTCAGTTATCTTAAAACCAAAAAATGTCAACCTACCAGTGACAAATTCCCATATTTTTTCATTAAATAATAAAAAAAATTAAGATGATAAAGTACCACATAACATATACGCTATCACCTCTACAGTCATATAATTTTTTTTGCAAGGTTTCTAACACACACACATATACATGTACAACTCCATGTATCACTTTGATTAAAAAGAATACTAGCTGGCCTTCAAAGGGGTTCCTCTATATTACCCAATTTCACATCTCACTACAATATATCATCATAATATAGATGCACAGGTGGTTTTCATGGAAACACTAATGTTATGTTTTAGTTATGTCAGTACCAGATTGATTAAAATACCAGCTTTGTATATAGTTGAGTCTATTTATGTGCATCAAATGGCACATGTGGAATGTTAACCCAGTTTCTCTCCTTTGTTATGTTCACACACAATGTTGCCAGACAAACTCTACGAGAAGTAAAAAAAATCCCCAAGGTCACTGAATAAGGAACTAAAGCCTGCCCACTATCTACCAGGGAAGCTTGAAACAAACTATGTATACAGAAAAAAAAACTATGGATTTAAAAAAAAGTTTTTCAAAATTCACAGATTTAAAGGTATCCTACAATCCTTTTTCAAAACATTTGATAAATAACAGCAATATGAAGATACAAAATATACAGTTCGATTTCACTTGATCATACAATATGCTGCACATACAATGACCTAATTAATTGCCATAGCTAGGTGCCTGCAAACAGTCAACTAAACACCAGGTTCTTTACTGAATTTTACTTATTAAATCTCCTCTGGAGTTACAGCATCTGGAATTATGAAATTTTTACGTAAGCTTAATTCAAATAATTAATGTGGTTTTGTATCTGGGAAAAAAAATATTCGTACTGTATCATGCAATACATAGATGATAATGATATTCCTGGGATGTTAGTTCTCTCTGTAGATTTTGAAAAGGCTTTTGACACTTTGTCATGGAAATTCAGAAACAGGGATAGATACTTTCAGTAATGGTGCACTGGCATGGTGTAAGGCAGCCATACACCAAGAAGGTCTTCAAAATGCATAAAAAAACTACATAAACGCACCAAGTTGCTTTTCTAGATGAACCTGCCTCATTAGAATACAAAGCCACTTAATAAATTTAAAGTTAAACAAAAAATACTGACAGGAACTTTTGGGACAAACATCTTCAAAAGTGTTATAAGCACACACACAGAAAAAATATCAATTACTTTTGTAAAAATAATTTTATCAAGTTAATTTTCAAGAGGAATCTTTTTTAAACCAAAAAATGCTATCCAAGGAATGATTTATCGACAGCAATGACAAGGACAGACATTGTGACCAGAATATATACAGCCCGCACAGTGTCTGTATATAAAATGTGCCAGGATTGATAATGCTCCCATCTTACTAACCCAAGACATTTGTGCCCAATGGTTCAAAAATTTGCTATGTAAATTAATGAAGGGGGTGGAGTTATTTGCAAAAATATCAGCCTTAAATATAAATACATTTTCAAGCTTAAGGAAATTTTCACAATAAATAACAAACATGATCCTTATGAAAATCTATCTATCTGACATGATCCTTGTGAAAATCTATCAATCAATCTATCTGTCTGTCTATCTGTCTGTCTGTCTATCTAGATGAATTTTCTCATTTGGAAGCCTCTCAGATCAGACAGTTTTTGAATTAAACAAAGTCCTCTATGACTAATACATTGACTGACCAACTTCTCTAAGCAAACAAATTGAAATTCCAATAAAGTCATTTCTTGAGACAAGTGCCACATTTTCACAGGGTAATAAGCTAATCAATAATAATCATCATTCTCAGATGTCCTGGCCAATATAAATATAATAGCTTCAATTTAAAACAGATAATGAATCTATGCTATCACCTAAAAATACCAGATACTTTATGATGATTATAAATAACCAGAGATCTTTATATGCCCCTATGAAATGCACATTACATATATTGGCTGTCCATTAGTTAATCAAAGATAGGAATTTATTTAACCAATAAATTTATAAAGATATAAGAATCAGAAACATTTTTTTTTCTCTCGAGCTATCTGTACTACAGTAAACAACTGAACATAATGAAGTGTTTATGAGTTAACCTAAAGAGTAGAATTAAAATTTTATGTTGCACAGGGATAAAAATTACTTTAAATCATTTACTATCCTTAAAAGAGATAAGTCTTGCTTTGCTTGGTAAAAATCATAACAAAAGAATTAGCTGGATGGGTGGGATCCCCTAAATTCTGTTTCATTGTTTTTTTCCATTCTGTCTTTTATGATACCATCCAGTTGGAGGAGATCTAAAGAAGAGGTATTGATACCATCATAGAGTTCTTTCCTTTCCCTTGAACAGAGCCCTGTCATGCCAGGTGCTAATACTAAAGGTTAAAATGCTATCAATTACACACTTATAGTGCCATAAGTAATTGTTGTTATAGATAAACATATATTGATCTTATGAAATATAAATAAATATGTATCACCTTTCGTAAAACTTTTTATTTCTTTTAAAATTCTACTGTTCAAAAACTTTGTAAATATGAAATTACCCTTGTGTGCTACTTGTAAAAACAGCAAAGTAATTGTGAGACGATGAATAAGCTGACATAACAGTTGTGGAAATATCTTTCATCAAAATTCATAAAATAAAGCTCATTTATAGATTTGATGACATGGCACACTTTTTTAAAACTTCAATATACCACACAGAGAACTATCTGTATTTGTACTTGAAACACCAATTTCTTAAGCACCACTTTCCACAGACATCTTTTTACATCATCAGATAATATAAGACTTAACTGTAAAACACAAGATGACATTCTCTGAGTAGGTGTGTATTAAAGAGGGATGTTTTAACATGACTCCAAATCGATATGTTCATACTATTAGCTTCCTTAGCAACAGGAAAGTAAATACTTTTCTCATGCAACACTCTCATATGTTTCCTGTATTTTGTGAATTGGCAGACAACATCCTGTCACTGCTGATGCTGATGCATGAGTCATTAGGGGGTCATTTCACTAAAAAATGAAGATTTGAGTCACATTTTTTGTGGAATGACACTAGGGAATTCTGGTTTAACAAACAATAAAGCTGTACAATTCCAACGACCACCTACAAGCATCACTGCGGAATGGCGTATGAATACCCCCTCATTGTGGCAGGAGTATTCACTACTGTATGTGAGAATATGAAAACTTGATCCATTTAAGCAGAATATGAAATATGGATATAATTCATACTTAAATACACGTTGAAGAAAATAGTTTAGTGCTGAATGACTGGACTGTATAATTTCTGTATTTATATATATATATTTTTTTGCCACTTAAGGAATTAAGAATCATTGCCACCAATTTTGGGTCAAATCCTTAATTTCATCATTCTACTGGAAGTGATCTAATGATTCTGAAAGAAGGCCATATGGAACTTATGGCACTGATCCAAACTTCCTAGTACATAAAGCTTCATTAGCACTCCAAGTTGCTGTAGGTATGCCAACCAATAAAACACATTCAATGTTCAGTGCTTTAAAGCTGACATCACAATTACAACATCCATCTCAGCAGTGAAAATTGAAATCTGTATGGTTAGCTCATGGACTAGGCCAAATTCTTGGTATTAGATATATAAATTAAGAGCTGGTTTGTCAGAATGAATGCGATATCCAGCTGAAGTTGAGCTTGGAATGTTAACCATGAGAAGCATTGAGTACCTAGGTCTCTGCACTGCATTGTCCGCAATCTCAAGTAATGGTCCAATTTATTAAAATGAATAAGCCATTTGCCAGCTATAGATCCCTCCATGTGCAACCATTCCCATCAACACTTTTACCCCAAGTAATAAACTGAATACTAAAAAAGGAATCTATTTGGCAAATGTAAAGATGATATGTACTTCATCATTGCTCTCTCTTTTTTTTTTAAATACAACAAGTGATACAAATAATTACTTAGATTTTTCTAAATATCTGCAGGTAAGCATTTTAAAAAATTCAATTGCCTTAATGTAGAATGTACACATTATCTAGACTTATTTCAAATCCTGTGTGGATTGCAAGGACATATATTGGAGAGTGAGAATTGATCTCAATCCACAGAACACATGCATATCTCATCCACTGAAAGGACATTGAGGGGTGAACATTCTTCTTCAGTTCTGGAACCTACCCATCTTAATTTTACCGTAGACTTACAGTTGTAAAATAGCAAAACTACACACACACACACATTAATATGTTAAGATCTGTCTAGAGAATGTATGTCCTGTATAAAGACCAAGGTTGACTTCAGAACAACCTGAATGTATTGAATCTGTCCTTAAGAAAGCTCTATGAATCTTATACCCAAGTTTTAGTTATCAGTATGCCCCACAATGTGTACATGAAAATTGAAGAATTGCTCAAAAATTTTTTCATGCATTAGACATGTATGGGAATGCGTTTGACAGCTGCAGCGGCTTTATAAGATTCACTCTTTTCTTTTTTTAAATATCTGTGTTATGCAATGAAACTCAGATTAAGTTTTTGGAAGAGTCATGAGGAAGACTCATGGCTTAGTGAGCAAGGTACAACTAATACAGCTCCGTATTCTGGATGCATATAAATGAATTGGCAGAAATTGTAACACTTTTAGCAAATAGAATTTTAATAACTGGAAATCGAAGAGAGCACATACATTCAACAAATAAAAATTAAAAATATAGATTCAAGGACATAAAGGCAAGATATTATGGTGAAATGATAAAAAAATCATCTCATGTCTGTCTTAAAAGAAATAATGCTTTTCAAGTTTTCTTTACTCTTTTGGTTCTATGACAAATCCAGTTCATTTAACACTAGTGAAACAAAAATATGGTTTGACGCTTGGGGGGAGAACAGAAAAAATTCTTATGTAAAAATAATCCCATCATGTTGCTTTTTACCAGATAAAGCCACTAAGATAACTTTAAGTACAACATTCAACTGATCGTACTTGCATTTCTCTACAAGCTTCTCAGTCCCAAAATGATTCATACATAAAATCCATATATCAGTCTAAACTAAAAATCTCTTAGAATAGAACCTCAGTGACCTGCCTAAGGCTGCCCGTATTATGGTTTTTAGCATTAAAGAGTTTCATATTGTTGCTTACGTACCTGCTTTTTCCTCTTTATCATCATTGAATCCAAACACTGAAGAACAATCGGAATGTGAGCATTGGTCTGTGCTAAAATAAAATATTATAATACTGTTACAGATATCATGAAATACTGGGAACTACATTCATTACAATGCCTTTCCCAGTGTACAAGATGCATCAGTTTGTTAATGAGTTATGGTATTAGACATCCAAAATCATTTGTGAACAAACTGGTAACATTTAAAAAAAAAATCAAAATTTTTTAAAAACTTTTATGATGAAATGTCTGAACACTCATAAGTTTTACAAAATGGAACTACTGATTTTAATGTTTTATTTTCTTACCAGCATTGATACTGAGCAGTGTTTTGTAGAGGTGCCTGTAAAAATTGAGAGGGTCAATATTCAGCGCTGATCCTTGCCCAGAGAGGATAGTGAAGGCAGTCTGGATACAGAGGAGCGATTCTCTTCGGCCAAGTTCCTAGTAAATCAATCATTAAAGTACCATTGTTACAGTAAGGACAAACACTCTAACTCTGCAAGAGAATGTGTACAGACATCTTTTTTTCTACTTACATTTTTTAACCAGTGTCAAGGAACATACATGACAGTGACACACATAAGCCTATATTAATAAAGGGCAATTCATAAAAGTAAAATCTATTCCTGCTATTAAAGAATATAACAATGAATTGGAAAACAACTTAACATAAGGAATAGAACAACAGCAAATGATAAAAATTACCTCTGATTCCACCAATGCATTAAGGACATTAAATAAATCACTGAAGAACTCCACATTTATCAAGTGGGCATATCTGCAATAAAAAATAAAATATGATATAATATTATCACCTACATCAAAGATTTTATGTTGACTACTTCAAGATCTTTGAACTGTTAGCCACATCCCACCTGTATGCTAAGCCTGTCCAAATATGGTTTATTAATCCCATCATGTTGATTTTCGAACTCGGCTTTAAAGAAATTCAAAGATTTATTGAAGAGTTATAGTGACTACATGACTGTACACAAACACATACATACATACACATTAACATCACTTGGTTTCAAAATATCCCTATACATGTGATAACTACTTAAAGACCATTGTCTTTTACAAGACAAAATAAACTTTTGATTCAATTTTAGGATGTAATAATATAATTTTTTCATAGCCCAATTGATTAGATTAAAGGAAATGTTTTTTTGGAATTCATCAAAATTAGACCAATTGTGTTAGAGAAGACACAGAACAATAACATTGCAAATAAGATAAAAGTATGGCAGATAAACAGAGTAATAAGCAATTATACAAACTTACTTTCTGTATATAAAAATAATAAAGAATCTCTGCAACAGAATCAGAGATAAGTCTCTATTAGACACAGGTGTGTTTGGTTATACTTACTTGGCTAGGCCTTCTAACACCGAGGACAGTAGCACTGAATTTCTTGCTGTCTTCAAAATACGGAAGTAGACTAAAAACAATGTCTGAACGATGTCTGTGAACTACAAAAGGAAACATTTTATAAATAAACCACCAAGTGCAATGCAAAACAACTTATGAATTATTATTTTCTTTCTTTATTCAGACAAAATATATCAATCACATCATAATATTGCATTTTAATCAAAATTTTAAAAAATATTAAATATTTAAATACCCTTACAAACCTATGACCAGACATGAACACTTAGAAAAATGAACATACAAGAGCTATATGAGTTCATTTAAAATACCAGATGGTGTAAATGGGCTGCCATGGCATATCCCCTCACTTCCACACATTTTAAAGAATAGCTCGGCCTTAGAAACCCTGTTTCCTTGATAATTATGATACTGCATAAAACTATTGAAAGTTAACTTCATAATAACATCTGAAGAAATATGCTTCCATGTATGGCTTTAAAATATCTCTGAAAAATTACTTTATGTAAGATAATAGTATCATCCACCCCCAGGGGGAGCCCCACTCACTAAATTCTGAGGTGTCCATCAATGATTAAAGGTCTATCAATCCATTCAAGTTTCAAGCAGTGTGAAAAATTATAATCATCTCTCACCTGCAAGGACAGCCCTACCCCCAGGCCCATTAAAATTCAGAAGGTCTATCAATCCTTAAAGTTTCGTATGTGAAAATAGCTTCACCCTGGGGAGGGGGGGGGAGGTGAGAGAGACTAACAAGTCATCATCAAGACTGAGGTAATTCAGTTGTGGCCAAGTCTGGCAGAGCGAATAGACGGAATGGTCAACACGTATGTAAACTATCTGGATCTATCAAAATGAAACCTTTTTGAACCTCAAGGTTTCACGTTCCTCACTCTAATGGTCTAGGAGATCGCAGAGATTACCATGTGAAGAAATGAAAATAAGCCAACCCAACTCCAAGGATAGCCCAATCATGTTAAAATGCAGTTTTGAATACACAGTAAGTTCTCATTTCTGTTTAAGACAAGTCACTGTTGTCTGCAGTTACTATAAGCCTTTGTCTGAGAATATGAAAGACTAGACTCCAAAACCCCACTTTAACCACAAATGTCAGGCACCAAGACTAAATAATAACATTTTACTTTAGTTTCAAAAGTTGATCTATGAGACTCCTATAAGAAATTCTTTCTGGAGTTTGACATTTCCAATAATTTCAGTTAGTAAATTAAACATACCAAATCATACACAAAATGCTGAATGTCATGAATATCACCCATATTCTCCCAAGCCCACTGCACTTAAAGCTGTCAGACAGATTTAATGTCACTGTAATACCACTTTCACAAGGGACCTCCATTTCCAAATACAATTACACTTGTATTGTCCACAATTTTACTAACAGACCCCATTTGGGACAATTCAAATCCAGCTTATGTTATATAATATTTTGCTGATGACCAATAACATCTGCACAACACACCATGTCATCTGCATACAGCAAAAATATTTGGTGGACCTTTATTAACATATATCGTCTTTTAAGATCTAACAATAGATACAAAGTGCCAAAATTTAAGACCGACAGATTCCGATGCTCTTTTATTCCATATGCACTTTTAAATTTCCAATAGTATTATGCTGTCTTTTATCCTAAGTACAATAATTTTAAAGTTCAGTTAGCAGTCTAAGTACAATAATTTTAAAGTTCAGTTAGCAGTCTTTTAACTCAGTTTTATTCATGCAAATATTCATTTTATTATCATTATAATTTTTTTTATTTTAAATTTAATTTTTTTTTTTTTTTTAACTTTCTATGTACAACTTCAACCCACTGGGTTGCAATCTTAATAAATTATTATTATTATTATTATTAGTATCCATTATTAAAATTATTATTATTTCTGGAGAGGCAGACCAATGGACCATCTAACAGACTGACCAACTGGTTATTTCCCCTTTATATTTGTTAAAGCATGTATGAAACTGACAAAAAAACTTCCAAACTCACTGTTCTTGCTCTCTTCTTCTTGTCCACTGTGGCCTGAGCTTCCTGTAACTCTTTTTCAAGAACTTCCATCTGCTTGTTTCTCTGTATTTTCATAATGAAAAGAAAGTGATTACATTAATAGATCTGATCATCCAAAAACTCTAAACACTGAAAAATTAAAGGTATTTAGTGCACTAGGCAAGCACTAGAAATACCAATCAGTGATTTTGAATGTTTAAATGAACTGACAAAATCCAAAGCACTGCTTTATATATACATACATATGTATATGCAGAACAAATTGTAATGGGTTGAGGTCAAAATCGAAGAAAGATCACCCAATCATGGCTTGTGATCAGACAATTTTGTGATGTATTGTAATTTATGTGGAGAATATGTTTTTATTCTTCTTCTGAAGTATTTTAATCACTAAATTGATTGTAATGAAACATCAAAATGAACTCTATGCAGTGTGTAGTATTACTGCATGTGAGGCTTCCTGGTGAAATTAAATTGTGATACAATTTTTGAACGTGTTAAGCACATGAAGGGTGATGTATATATTCTGCAAGGTATGCGATACAAGTTCATATCAGACACCTTCAAGTAGTTTGGACACTTATATCAGACAATTGATGATACTTCTGCCTTGTTAAGCATTAAATAAATTACAAAAATATCAGATGTTTGTGTGTGTGTGTGTTTATATATGTGCGATATTCCTTATACAGTGACTAACCATCTTACCTTTCTCTCTTTCCTCGACATAGTTTGCATCTTTTGTTTTTTAGTCATTTTTTTATCTTCTTTTTCTTCTTCTTTATTTATTATATCACTTTCTTTTATCTTGAGGGAAAGACACGTCTCCAATACCTAATAAAGAATTCACAAGAATATTGATATTGATAACATGAAAAAAAATGCATTAACTGTAATTTAATCTGACTTCTGGTTTTCATGTTTTAGCAATCAACATATATCATGATCTTATATCTATGATTTTTCGTAATCAATATATATTATGATCTTATATCTATGAGTTTTAGGTCCAACATAACCTCATATTGACCAGTGATGTCACTGCTGACTCTTAAAACCAATAAAAGAAATGGTGTTGGATAATGGTGATGCTGAAACTTTAGATATAATCTAGGATGACAGTGACATTCAGGTATTAAATTATGCAATAAACTAGAACAAGAGCTTTCGACCAAAATGTTACTTTGGAGTTTGGTGAAAATTTAATTGCCAAATTGGTATAAAATAAGGGTGTTTTAGTCCTAAGGACTTGTTGTTTGGGAGGGATTTGATGACAACATTTAGTTACTCAGTTATTTGGATTTTTGTTAGTGATGTGTTGCTGTAGTTTTGGTAGATTCCCAAGTAGAGAAGTGCAAGAGCGAATTGGCTTCGAGTTTGATTTTTACAGCCAGCAAGTTCAACAGAGTACTCTCAAAAGGCTGCATGTTGGTTAGCATTGTGAATTCTTGCAATTATGCTAAAGTTTTCTTTTCTCAGACTGGTCAGATAATCAGCTTTTATGTCATTGTACAATATTATATTTGATGATGAAGTTTTTGGTCAATATTGGTCAATATCATGTTTTATAAGACCTCAAATTCACAGATGTAAGATCATAATCTATGCTAATAATATAATAATTGGGATGATAGGAGGAATATTCTGAACAAAACTAAATAGATTAGTAAAATATTTTCACAAACCTTTTTATTTGACTCATGTTTAGTTCCACAATTAAGCATAGAGATACTGACCACTTGACTAAGAAATGCTTTGTACTTTAATTTTCATGATGCCCATAGCTACCATGAACAAATCAATAATACATAATGTTTTTCTTCTTATCATTTTTGTATTCTCTATCCTACCTTAGGTTGGACATGTTCTCCCTTTGACTTAACCATCCTGTTAATGTGCTGGACAATCTAAAATGCAAAAAAAACAAAGGGTCGCTATAATGGAACACAGGGGCATGAAAAAATGAGTTCACAAAATGAATGAATTACCATACTGCATGTGGATTTATACAAGCATATATTCAGGATGTGCCTCAGTATCTGTAGTGAAAACAAGGCACTGTTTCACACACAAAGACAAGTTTTAATTTGGTCTTAATTTCAGGACTAAACCTGCTAGTCTTATTTCCTTGACTATCACATGTGAAAGTCAAAGAAAAAGAGAAAAATGGGCTTATTACACAGACTAGATTTTCAGAGCTCACTTGATTTAACCAATATAATTTGATCAGGAATCAAAAAAGGGTAGTCTTTAAGGGGCTGTTTCATGAATAAAAACTTCTTTTATTCATCAAAATGACATCAAAGTGAAAAGTTTTGACATTTTGATATTTTTGATTTTTTTATGCTAGAACTGTAAATAAAGTTGTTATGCATTGTCAACTCTGAATAGATCTGAGGTAAGTGCTAATTAATCAGAGCCTGTTTTAAGTGAGGAAGTGAGGAAAAGATAAAACATTGTTACATTTACCTCAAGTGTTATTTCTCCCAGTTTGTCTGATTTAAAAATCTTTTCAACACATTCACAAACATGGTCAGAGAGCTGAAATGTGCAAATAAGTAAATGAAATAATAATTCAATTAGTGAATAAATTTATTCAAAACAACTAGACATCAAATATGGCAGATGTGCACACATTAAAATAAATCAAAGAAACAGAATAAATTTATCGGTTAATAGGAAGTCTTATTAAACTTCTATTATATAATAGTGGAAATCATCTGAAATAACTTTTAAAACAAGGCTATTGCCACAGCGTGATGCCATAAGAGAGTAGAAAGCATGTGAGAATCCACTTGAGGTGGGACTTACTTACTGTACTGCATAAGGATTTTGAGCTTAAAGGTATACTTTTAAGTGTTTGAAAATTCCCTGTAGTAATATTTTCTATGTTTACATATCCTGCAATGCAACTAATCTTTCCCAATTTCCAAAAAAAAAAACCTTGAAAACTTTAAAACTCCTCAAACAAAAGAACCTGACAGCAATAGTTCCTTTTGAAATGTACAGGAAATTTAAAGTACTGGCCAGTCATTTAGAATGATATTAATAAGTTAAAAATGGAAAAAAAAACATCTGATCCAAGTGCAGGGACAGGATAAGCAATGGTTTTGAGAAATGGAAAAAATTATTTTATTTCCAAAGAAAATTCATATTAATTTGCTGTTCAATCTCAAATTAAGTAGCTTTAAGAGAAAAAAATATTTGTAGGGAAATTTTGTTCGCTAAATTTAATGCTGCACTGGCAGTCTGCCATTTTTCAGCCTTGATGCCTCACCTTGACATTCTTGTGGTTCATGAATGGCACTACCACTGTCACAAGATTGCTTCTAAAGTTGAAGTTTTGATGTGTCACCAGCAAATCACACATACAATGAACTGACAGCTCTCGTAGCACCTAAAGCAATGTATTTTGTTTATGTTAAAATAAATACTCTTAATCACCTTCACATTCTCAAAAATCTATATGTACGTAAATTTAAAGTCTAGTTCTACACTGAGGCAAAACATAAAAAAACATTTTCCTTTGTGTAGTTTATTTTAGAATACTGATGCCAATAATCCATGTTTGAGGTACATAAATATTTTTATTTCTCTTGCTCACAGATCATTATTTTAAATTAATTCATTAAAATGAACAACTGCCTCGGCAACATAATGAATATCTTAACAAACTGATGTTAACATGATTCAACCTTCATTGTCTCTTGTAAAAAAAAAAAACAACAACAACAAACCTTTGCTGCCTCTTGTGGAAAGGCATTCCTTTCTTTGATATATTTTGCTTTTTTCTTGGTTGGTTTGGCATTCACTCCTGTTGACATTCTTTCCAAGAACTGGAGATAAAGCTTGTAGTTGTGAATTAGACTTTCTTCAAAGTCCCTGATTTTTTTGGTTTCCAGTTTCATCTGCAAGGAGGGATAAACATACAGTTTAATAAAAGAATACAATTTCCAATCACATTAAGATAGTAACTTCAACTTATTTATGTATTACAGAAAAATAACAGACATCAGACTATTGTAAAGAGACATGTTTTGAAGCAAAATTTTGATGTGCAGGCCTGGAGATAATTGCTGATTATTCACATATCCAAAATCCATTTATCATTTGGGCTTTTAATGCCAGTAGTAAAACTACACATCATGGAAGGTACACATACAGACATTAAACAAAGAAAGTAACATAAACAGAGTGAATGAGATGTTTCTGCAAGACAGACGGCAAAATAATTTTTTTAATTAAAAAATTACTTTAGCAATGTTTTTGCTAGGTTCACTTTTTTCACCATCAATACAAGTGACTGTTTCAGCACAATTTTTTTATCTATTTATTTGCAACCTACTGAAAATAAAAATGGTCTTCCTGAATGGTACTGGTTGAAATACTTATATAATTCCTATATATGTATTGGATGTCATACAAAATGACACAGTGCAGTGTTTTTGAAAAAAAAAAAAATTGACAAAGATGGCTGCACAGCTGATGCATTCAATTCATCATAGTTTGCAGCAGTTTGTATTCTACACACAGATATCAACAAAAATGCAGTAATGACATAAATGTTGTAAGAACTTGACAAATCAAAGTAACCAAAGTGTCCAACACTTAGCTTGGATATTTAAGTGATATTTCACCAAGTCACCATGTCAGATGCTAAATTTAGTAGTTGGACACAATGCTAAATGGCCTAGCACTTTGTCCTGCGTAATATCCAAAAGTAAGTAAACAACAACTAGCTACCTGATAAAAATGACAATATCATAACTCACAAGGTGTATTCAAATCCATTTTACACCAAACTGAAGTTTTTTTTACACCAAATTAAGTAAAATCAGACTGCTTAAAACATTATTTGATCTTTTCTACTACAACAATGATCTTCAAAATGAATAACATCCCTTGTATTTTATTCATCCAGATTAATAATTGATTTAAACAACAATGCAAGAATTACTTACTGACTGCTCTTTTTCTTTATCTGTAGGAGGCCTGATTCTGTAGCCAGGAATAATATCCTTGAACACCTCTAGCAGTGACAGCATGGCCAGTTTACGTACTGTTATAAATAACTGGGGATCCTGAAACTCTAGCATCACCCTCAGTTCTTTAAGTTTTCTCATCTGTAACAATATAGATTACTGATTTTTATAATAATATACTTTGAAAAACATCTCCAGGATTGCACTGAGGTTAACACTAAATGAACAATATTTCATGACTTCTACATAATGCTTGCCTATCCTATCATTATATCACAATCACCTATTAACACAAATTGCGATTTTTTCACCCATCTGGTCAGAATATTAGTGACTGCAAATGGTTTTCCAATGAAATTTCCATCAAGAACTTAAAAGTAAATGGTCCTAAAGATACTTGTAGCTAATTTTGCTTATTGAGATGAAGATAAAAAAAATGATAAAACTTATTTATTTTCTCACATTTTCTTCTGGGTTTTCAATGATGGCCCCAGCCAGCAGTGCAATCTTCTGCTTTACTTCTCTCAGTTTTTCTTGCCTCTGTGCAAACAACTGTGCTGTACTCAGTGCTGGAAGTGGTTCACAGGGTTCTGGTATTTTTTCAGCAGCATCTTCATTTATCACAGTGTCTAAAGAAATAAAAGAAATTCTGGTTGATATTATTTATTTTTTTTATTTGCTAAAGGCACAGAGTTCATTGTTTATAACTGCCGCAACAAAATATGTTCATTTCATCATATGAAAAACATTCCTTGTGATAATTAGGCACTTTTCATCAATCATAATGATACCTGCAAATAATGAAACAAGTATAGACAACAAGAGTAATTGCTTTAAGAACATAGAGCATTTTTAATATATCAAAAGGATTCAGTAATATATCAAAATGTTTCTGTATTCATACCCTCTTTTGACTTTTCATCTTCTTCTTGCACTCCCATCCTAACAACAAGGCCTTGTTTGCTTTTGATAGGCAACAGTGGCTTTAATACTGGTTCTTCCTCATGGTGCATTCTCCTGGGCACCTGTTCATACTGTGCCACTGGATCACTGTAGGGCTGCCTCTTCACCCTTGAAAAACACATTTGCAAAACCATAGTGACTGTGATGAAACAATACAATTTCACATCTTACACACATCTAGACTAAGACTTGCTCTTAATTTTTTTGTGTTTAGGGCAATGCAAATTTTTAGACATCTATTTGTTTTCCCCAAATATATATCATACAAAACTATAGTTCAACTACAATAAAACTAATGAATGAAGCATACCCTTTTGCAATTCCTTCCACAAAACTGCAGTTAGGGTTGGAAAAAATTTCCACATCATCAGTGTCCATTCTATCTTCCTCTTCCAGGTCAGAATATTGATGTATGATCTCTGCATTTTTACCTCCTTTCAGCTGCTTTAGTTTCTGTTCTATGAGCTGTTTGTTCTTCTTTAAATTCTTCTTCAATTTACCTTGTTTGGCTAACTTTGTAAGTCTTTTGTTGGAGAGTTTGTAATGACTGACTTTTGCCCCTGCTTTCCTCGCTTTTCCTCTTTTTGTTTTCTAAAAATAAATTTTAAAAATTGCATGTTCAATCGAAAATTATGTGCTACATGTATCATACTTTTAAAGGTATATTTCATATGCTGCTATATAGAAGGGAGCCCAATGAACTCACTTTAGATAAAGTAAAAAAGCATAGGATTTTAAGCAAGCATAAACCACTTCTGGATGGATTCATGCAAGGACAAATAATACTTTTTGATCATATTTAAATAGATACATGCTATGAATTAAAAAATTCTTCAAATTTATTACCTCCTGAAAAATCTTGCCTTCTATCTAATATCTTAATAGTTTTATGTAATCCAGAAATCTGTGTGAGAATTGAACTTGGAAGGATGGCAGAATTTTAAAAACCATCTCTTAAACATGTGTGAACGACTTTTCAAATTCCCCAGTTTGTAACAGATACAATAATTTTCAGAAATAGACTGAATTCTATTTCCTTATGTCACTATCATATGACCCTTAAGGCTTTTCCCAGCAAACTGTCCAACTATCATTTGGACGGCCGCTGGCATCACCGGACGGCAAATATTTACAAAGACGGACGAGCGGCTTACCAATTTTTTGGAAAGTGACACCCTTGGGGTGTCGGGACAGCCATGAACATATATAATATACACATCTTATACACAGCAGAAATTGTAAATTAGGAGTCCTTCACTGCAATGTACGTGTGAAATGTACGTACTTCATACTTACAGTGTACAAAGACAGGAAACTGGCCACCTACAGTATAAAGGTACTTATGCAGCATATTTCCCTTAAACAAGTGTAATTTGATTTTCTGTGTTTTTCTTAATTCAGATGTCTGTTAATTTTGATAAAAGTTTCTGCTGTACATTGTTTGGCTATTAACTTTTAAAATCTTCACCCCTAATATTTTTTCATAATAATACATTCAAATATCTTTGAATGGGCCACATTTTCCTTGTAAAAACATTCAAATGCCAGTAGATAAATGTCAATTAAATCTCTTGTGTTACTGTGTCTGAACAGCAGAGGCTCTGATCCAAAATATAGAAAAAAAAAACGAAGGAAATCAAGTATATGAGGTGGGTGGATTAAATAACTACTTATATGCTCCCAATGAAAGCATTTTTTTCGGTACAAACAAGGCCAAATGTAATTGCCTCATACATTGCTATATTGTCAGGCGTTTTGTACATGGACACATTATACACAACTTACCGAACCCATGCTTGTTGTGTAGCATTGTAAAAGATGGCGCTGTTACATGAAGAGACATCTAAGATTATAAAGTTTTATATTTTGTTAAAGATTTCATTCGAATATTTTACATAAAAAACAAATAATTAAAGTTGTTTATAAGATGAATTATTCTAAAGATTGAAATATCATGAGCTGAAGAAAAAAGAGAGGATGCCTCCTATCTTGCTCGATCGCCTATTTTCGGTTACGGAAATGCCCGAATATATGCGATAAAGTAAAAATGGAGGATGTGACAATATTTAAGTTTCAAGTTTTGTTCAAATATAGACGGAAATTTACATCATATGGGACTATCGTGCTGTACATGATATTAATTACAAGCTATTTAATACCTGCAGACTCTAAAGAGAACTGTGATGTTTCGTGTGAAAATGGGAACTGCAAAAACGGGAAGTGTGTATGTTTTCCAGGTTGGACAGGTAGTTCTTGTCAGTCGTGCGGTGGTCGCGTCAGGTAAGCTGGAGATGTTCTCCTTTAATTTTGTTTTATATGTAAAATCTTTCCTCATTCAAAGCTGATAATTGACTCCATGAGATGCATCGTGTTAAAAAAAATGACATATGAACTGGAACTTTTCCCAAACGTAAGTGTAACAATAACAACCTGTTTGGGTGGTTCCTTGTGACTCAACACAAACCACCTTACCTGCTGTTTATTTATGGTCCACGTTTTTGTACAGAGACAAGAGATCAATACATACATCAGCAGAAGCCAGGAAACATACCTTTTAATTCACGCAGACTTTTTTTACTGTTGTGTTATCAAAGTAAAAGGTATCTGTCAGAAGCAAGACCATTTTAAAAGTAATTCCCTGTTGTGTAAACTAAACAGTGTCATATTTGTTGCCTAGTGCATGTACCATTCTGCAGAATATTATTTTAAGGTCGAAGAGCAATGGAATCATTTAAATCTAATCTAAACATAATTGATCAGTTTTACTATTTTACAGCTAGACATGTACAGCTTGTTAAAATTATCAGTCCCCATCCTCTGTCTCATCATACAATAACTTGTTTTTCATCATGGGAGGTCATGGGTCATCTGTTATGTCTATGCATCGTTTTTAGCCAGGATTGTTACTCCATTATACTAATTATTCTTGCATTGCCACTGTGCTGCAAACAGAAATACATGGGGAAAAAACAGTGGCATGTACATGTGCAACAGTAATACACCATACTTTAAATTTTTGCAGATTTTTAAACTTGGGGTACAGATAAATATGTCAAGTTTATGGCCAGAAATTTGAAAAAAGTGCAGTTTTCAAGCTATTTTTTATTCATTTATTTTTATTTTTTGGCTGACTCACTGATTTATTTGGTTTATTCTATGGCATGTCAACTTTATTTAAGTAGTGTAAGAATTTTGTAGAAGTGGTTTAATATGCATTACAGAAAATCAGTGTTTACTTCATATGTAAGTTATCTTCCTGTACATTTCAGCAGAAACTGCTGATTAAATTTTTAAAAGTCTGAATTGGGAAAGATTAGTTGCTTTGCAGGATATGTAAACATAGAAAATATGACATGGGAGTGTTTAAAGTGTGTACAGTATACCTTTAGATTGATTATTGAGAATTTGCTGACACAGAATTGTGTATTGGTATTAAGTCTGAAAACTAAGAGAGAATAGGTATAGTGGAAAACATTTAGTTATTTTAGACTGACCATACCTCTTGTTAAGGTGAACATTTCAGATTTTAAAGCATTTTTTAAACTCCCTTGTTATCAGTCTTGTCTAGATGCTGGTTTCTTTGAATTTATTTGTTTAGTTTGTGTATATTAGACATCTTTATTTTATACAAAAGCGATGCGATTGCCAATTTTCTACCCTGTGTGTGTGTGTGTGTGTGTGTTTACAATTATTCTTCCAGTACAGTTTAATTCGACACCTTAGAGAACAATGATTAAGTGCAGATAAGAACTTGACAGGGCTCGACATTAGCGCCTGTCCGCCTGTCCGGGACAGGTAAAAATTCAGTTCGGACAGGTGAAGTTGCAGGGTTAGCTGTCCGACGGACAGGTCATGTTTTATAAGGAATGTGAAGCAAAAATCTTTAAAAATCATTTTTGTTGCATACTAACGTCTTTTTGCCTCTTCCTAGACGGCATAAAAAGAGTGACCTACTTTTGGCACAAAACACATGCAGTCGCAAAACGAAGTCTGAGCAAACTTACCGCCAAATTATGAAAGAGAACACCCTCCAGAACTTCATCACACAAAATTTATTCACATATCAGGTTCACTACTGAACATTCATTTAGTTAAAAATCCTACGTGATCTAGTAATAAAGACCCTTCCAAAAAAAAACAGAAACTATACGCAAGTATAGTGCTGCCTGGTTACAAACCCAGATTGAACTGGATGAACTGGCTATATCTAGTTCGTTGTCAAGGCAACATACTGCCTGTCAATCAAATACGTATGCTATCTACTCACTATAGAAAGTGAAATCTTTGGGACGGAAGATCTTGTTGAAATGTTTATTTTCCAAGATATAACCCGAAATTTTGTATGATGTTTTCTTTTATGACTCTAGCATCACCTCTGTTATTTACAGTTTAAAATTAAGTGCTGGAATATGATAAATTAACATTGCTCTAATATACCAGTGTGATATTGATGTAAGGAAGAAATTAGTAATAAAAATATGAGAATTTAAATAAAAAGAAGGGGAACTTTTTTATACTGATTTTATTTAATTCATATATTTTTTAAAAATCAAACAAATGATAACCCCTTTAGAAGTTAAATTGTTAACATAAATACAAGTAAAGTATTATAAAATGAATATTCTTTAATTTTCATTGAACTTTATTCAAATATTTTAAATATTGAATATTTTAATAAAATTAATTTAGCAGTACCCCCTCCCCACTTCCCGCTCAGGTTTTTTTTTTTTTTTTTTTTTTTTTTTTTAGCTTTGGTTAAACTTCATGTGAATCTGTTATCAAATTGCAGACTTACAATTAGTAAACCCTGTACCCCAAATCCTAGGAGAAGCCCTGATTGGAACTAAATAAATATTAGACTTATATGCAAGATTAAATCTTCAGGAGTTCACAAGTATGAAAAAACAACTTTTTATCTGAACTAAATTCACTTTAAGGTGCATTTTCGGGGCTCATAAGATTGAATATTTTGGTTATAAATACATTAAATGTATGACTACACATATTAATTGACAAAGTTCAAAGGTATGAATAGAAAAAAAATTGGTTTTGTGGACAGGTTGGATTAAAAATCGGACAGGTCAAATTTATGACCACCTGTCCGAAGGACAGGTGCTCATAAAAGTTAGTGTCTAGCCCTGCTTGACTACTAGTAGGTTAATAGAACCACTACTCATTTATGAAGTGGGAATAAACTTGGTTAATAAATCATTTTTATCTATGCCCCAGTGTTTCTGGAACTTCATAACAGCACAGCAATACTAATGATATTTTTAAAAACACAGTAAATATCATTCATTTAATATTATTTATGTAAAATGGTTAAGTACTACATAAAAATTTATGGTTTTGCTGTCAGTTTTGACAATGAACGTAAAACTTAAACACAAAACAAAGGTAAAGATCTACAACTTAAATTAATTTAACTTCTCATTTTCCATATTTTCTTCCAGGTTAACAGACCCCAGTGGCTATATTCATGATGGTGCTGGAAATTACAGTACAGATAGTAAGTGTTCCTGGCTGATAGACAGTGGTCAGGACAACGTTCCCATTCACTTCCGCCTGAAACACTATGCCACAGAATGTTCCTGGGATCACCTGTACATATATGATGGAGACTCGGCCTTCTCCCCACTTCTAGCAGCTTTTAGGTATGTGATCAACTTGAAGCTTTTCTTTATGCAATGCATGCAATTTTCAATGTTGAAATGGTCAAAAGACTAAAAGAAAGTGGAAGTTAAAGTATGCTGTTACACTTATTTGCCATAAGTGCAGCTCTATATAATGGTCTAGTGAAACTGAATTTTACATCCTTATTTTACATGTGGTCCCTTTACCATAATTTAGGTGGCTGTATGGTAAATGTAAGTTTTTATTTGCACCTTTCTTATCAGTCTCTGGGTAGGTGCTAAAAATAAAAATAAAACCTTTTTTTTTCTTGGCAGCCTGCAGGTTTATTGCACACATAGAATACGCCCTATTTTTTTCATCAGTTTGTCAGTACAAGTAGGCAGTTAACATTAAAAAGCCTTTTCATTTTATGGCAGCTTCATGTTTCTTTTGTGAAATACCTCTTGATATTTTTGCCATAATGTAGACAAAATGTCCTATACAGAATGGTGGATTTAGATATCTTTCAATCTTATGTTATCTTGTATGAACTGACAAATAGCACTTTGGGCAATATTATGTGGCCCTGAAAAACCATGTTCACTTTGAAAATACCATAGATCACATATTGCATTTATGTAAAAGAGCCTTCCATGTTTTGCAATGTATTTCATGTTCCAATATTTAAGCACCAAATTAAGTTAAAGGAACAAAAAGTAAACTAGTATTCATAAAATGTGTAAGTTCAGCATTAGTATGTAGTGTTGCGTCTGGGCTTTGCCACTGAGCCATTCACACATTGAAAACAGTGTTGTCCCTCATTTTGAGATATATGCAGCGCAGCTAAAGGTGCAAAATTACAACAAAAGTCCCTTAAAATTTAGAGCTCCCAATAGGTAAATAATAAAAGTGAATATTTCTCTTTTTCGCTTATTGATTACTCAACATACACCCTAAAAAAGCCATATTATTTACTCTGTACTTGTAGTTATGTAGGTGTTCTAAGAACTCTGTTTATGTGGCCAGATACCAGTTTCACAATAGCTAACTTACATAAATTTGGCCATTTTGCTGAGAGTAAAAACAGTTGACTAAAAACCAACTGGTTATTATAGTTTTTTTTAAAAACCTTGAAATGAATTAATGACCTTTTGATATTAATTTCAACCATGCAAGCGTCATAGCAAGCATACAAGTAC